CCGTTTTGCGCTCAAGCCATTGAGCGTTGCAGGTACAGGATTCAAAACGGCACTTCGTGCCTGCGAGTCATTCAGCTTCGGTAGAGGGCCGTTCCCTCACGCTTTGATAACCATTTCGCCGCCATGGGGAAGGGCGGCCAAGGCAAGCGTGGTCCTGGAGGTCACGGAGGCAAGGGCGGCAAGGGTGGCAAGGGCTTCCCTTCGGCGGCTGCCCTTGAGCGGGAGCTCGCGCTGTGCGATGGTGGCAGTTCTCCTCCTCCACCTTGGGCTGCGCGCGTCCCTGGGCTTCAACAAGCTGCTCCTCCTGCCCTCTGGACATGCTCGGCATGCGGCTGCAGGAAGAACGAGATGCGCTGGTCGCGCTGCAAGCATTGCGGCTCTCAGTGGACCCCGTTCCAGCCCTACACGCCCACCTCCTTCGGCACGCCTGGTGGAGTCTGGTCAGCTGGCCTCTGTGGCACCCTGCCGTTCTCCCCTTTTGCTGGTGGACAAGGGCCTCCAGGCACCTTCGCGCTCGGCGACGGTGGTGGAGGCAAAGGTGGCAAGTCGGCAGGTGGACCAGTCAAGCCTGAGCCCCTTCTCTCTCGGGAAGAGCACGCGTCTTTGGCGGAGCTGCTGGCCAAGTCTGGCGACGCGCTGGGGGCGGCCAAGCATCGCGAGCTGGCCAGGCCTCCGCCAGCGGTCAAGGAGCCTACCTTGCAGCACCAGGTCTCCATGGCCCACAGCAAGTTGCGCGGCCTCGAGCGCAAGTTGCAGGGCGCTGTTCAGAGATACGAGGAGTGGTCGTCTCAGATGGTGGAGCAGCGTGCATTGGCCACCAAGTTCACGGAGGAGTGTGAGCAGGCCGACGCTGAACATCGTCGACTGGTGGCCGCCCTTCATGCTCAAACGTCAGCTCCTGCCCTGCAGAAGGATCCAGTTGACAAGGCTGTGCCATGTTCGTTGTCTTCGATCATGGACGGGTCCTTCACCGATAAGCTGGTCATCGACCCCTCGGAGCTGCTCGGTGGCGTCGAGGATTTCGAGCTTTCTGAGTCCGACAAGGAGGAGCTCGAGAAGAGGGGCAACCAGCTGCGCGATGGCATCCAACAGTTGGCCCAGCGTCTTTTCGCTCAGGCCTCTGAGGCAGCCAAGCAGATCCAGGAGGCGCACAAAGAGCATCTTGGACGCCTGGCCAAGAAGAGGAAGACCGACGAGGGTGCAGCTCCTGGCGCTGACGGTGGTGGTGGTGCTGAGCCAGCCGCAGCCGCTCCAGCCGCTGGTTCTGTGGCAGCAGCAGCTCAGCCTACGGAGGTGGATGCAGAAGCTGCCGCCTCTGCTGCACTACGCCAGCGTGCCGCCAAGATCATTCAGCACGGGCTGCCTGAACAAGACTCTCCCCCTGCTGCCGCGTGAGCTTCAGCAGGGGGGCCTTCATCGTGAACACGTTCATCCCAGCGGCACGCTCACTTGCCCAGCCTGGCACATGTTCTCTCCGTTCCCCATCGGCAGGGGACTTTAATGCTCTGGGCCTAGGCCTTGCACCTTGGGGCGGAGACGAGAGTTGCCCAGGCTGGCAAGCAGAGCCCGCTCCCGCTGCAGCTGCAGTCGATGCTCGCCCTCGTGGGTACCTTCAGCCTGCTGCTGACGGAGTAGGGCCAACTTTTTCTGCTGGAGCCTTGGACCTCGAGGCTTCAGTTTCTCCAAGGCTTTATTCTGGATCCCTGGATTTTTTCTGGGGCTGTCTGGACAGGCCGTCTTGCCTTGGGAGCCTCCAGG